CCCCCGCGGCCCCGCCGCCGCCGACGAGACTCTGGCCGGCGACGGCGGCTGGATGGGCCTGCCGTACCGCGTAGTTTGGGCGGTGGCGTCGCTCGACAGCCTGATCGTGTACGACTCGCAGCAGCGCACCCCCCTCCTCGTCGCGAGCGGCATGCACTACGCTGCGCTCACCGACCTCGCCTGGCTGCCGGCCGGGCGCGGGCTGATCGTCTCGTCGGCGGACGGCTTCTGCTCGATCCTGCTGCTCGCGCCGGGCGCGCTCGGCGAGCCGCTGCCGGAGGAGGAGCTGCCGAGCTGCATGCGGCCGCCCGCTGCGCCCGTCGAAGTGCCCGCCGCTGCGCCCGTCGAAGTGCCCGCCGCAGAGGCGGCCGAGGGCGTCGCTGTCGACGTGGCGCCGGCTCCGGTTGTGGAGGGGATGGAGGTGGAGGCAACCGCGGTGGCGGCGGCCGCAGCTGCTCCCGCCGCCACCGGAGAGGCGCCCGCCCCCGGAGCGGCGAGCGGCGCGACGACGGGCGGCACGGTCGCCCTCAAGCCCGGCGAGGCGCACAGCGACGGGCTGCAGGTCAAGAAGAAGCCAAAGCGCGTCGTCCCAATCGAGACGAGCGTGTAGGGCCGGCGCCGCAGAAGCCGCTCAGCCCCTGCTGGAGCCGAGCACCCAACGACCCGCTCCAGCGCGCTCATTAGCCAGAGCGTCGCGCGGGGGCGTGCGCGGCTTCACAACCTGTCCTCGCGTGCGACATGAATCATGATCACAGTCACACCGCCGCCGAACTGCGAACACGGTGCGCTATACAGCTCGAGCGTGAATGTGGAGCCGCATATAGCAGTTCAGCGTTTGTTGAACATTTCTCTCTGGTCTCTCAATGGTGGTCTCGGGTGGGGTTGACCACAGGCTAGTTTTCCATTTCACTCTGACACGCTAATCTTGAAAACGTCCAACGGAGCTCCGTGTTGCTCCCAGCGCCCTCCCCCGCGCTTCCTGCGGCCATGGCCGATGATACTAGTATGAGAGGTCATCTGGCTACCGCGAGCGCGACTCAACTCGCCGACGTCGTCCGATGATTGTGCCTCAAAGTCAGCCTCCGGAGGCTATCGTGGGGTCGAGCCGGCAGTAGCCGTGACATGTGGTTCCACCACCCCTCGTATGCTTTGCCTCTGACCGCCACCGTTCCCAGGCTGCCTAATGGGATGGAAAGGAAGGCTCGGCGAGCGTATAGAAGCGTGCTCGACCTCGTCGTGGCAACCTGCACGGCAGCGCTGGTAGGCGCGATGAGCGTCGTGCCACCTGACCCGAGACGGGTCGCAGGCGTCGTACCGAGCGCGTCGAGACCGTGTCCTGATGTGATCTGCACGGGTGAGTCACGTCGGCGTCAAAGGAGCGACGTGCGACCTGTCAGAGCTTGATCTCCGATCTCAGCGGCGTCGAGTCGTCTCCGGCGCGCGACAAAGGTACATCCCCAGGACGCGCAGAGGCAGCTGCGATGCGGGCTAAAGACCGCCGGCGTGACGTCACCATCGTCTCTCCTCGTCGCCGATCTCG